TTTTACTTGTGTCAGTGCCTAAGAAATTTGCTCCGTAGTTGCATGTTTTTGCTTATGGACTTTTTTCCCTTAAATCCTCATTTAATAACATCAAGAAATACCTTGAGCTTATTATGGGATGAAGGCATAAAAGGGTAAAGACATAGTCCTCTCATTCATACTTTTGCCTTGGGAAAGGAAAATAGAATTCTTTGTTAGTGAAAGTTTGTTTTATTTGGAGCTAGGTCAGGATGTGTGGTCCAGCTTGTCTGGGAATTCACTATGTATACAAGGCTGGCCTTGAAGTTAAAGAAATCCTCCTGTCTTAGACTTCTGAGTGCTGGAATTATAGGCATGAACTACCAGGTCTGACTTCTGTCACATATTTTTTATGTTTTTTGTTACCAAGATGCTTATGTATGTTAAGAAAGAAAATGAATGGCAAATCTAAATAAGCAATATTTTAAAATGATGGCGTTTTTGCTGGACGAGGTAGTGCACGCCTTTAGTTTCAGCACTTGGGAGACAGAGGCAGGTGAATCTGTGAGTTTAAGGCCAGCCTGGTCTGCATAGGGAGTTCCAGACCAGATGGGGCTACAGGGAGATCTTGTTTAAAAAAACAAACAAACAAACAAAAAGGGCTGGAGAGCTGGCACAGCGCAGGCTCATAGCCAAACCAAACAAACAAAAACCAAGTGTTGGAATACAGTTCAGTATAACCTAATTACGTAGAACATGGGGCTTTGTGTATGTATGTTTGTCAGACACTCCACCACTGAGCTGTATGCACAGTTCCCTTTTAAAATTTTCGGTTTCTGAGATAGGGTCTCACTAAGTTGCCCAGACTGGTCTTGAACTCATTATGTAGCCCTGGCAGGCCTTTGCCTCAGCTTCCTGATTAGCTGAAATTATAAGCTTATGTTATCATGTCCAGATCAGACCTTCTATTTTACATGTGCATATCTATAACACATACTTATAATTTATATCTTTTTAAGATAAATATGCTTGTTTATGATGGTGGTGCATGCCTTTAATTCCAGGCAGAGGTATATGAATGTCTGAGTTTCACATCAGCCTGATTTCAGGCCTGCCAGGGCTACATAGTGAGATCCTATCTCAAACAAATAAAACAACAAAACAAAACAATATAAATAGGCTTATGTTCTAAACATTTTGCTTGCAGCTTGCTTCTTTTATTTTTTATTTTTCCTTTTACCACTATGTCTTGATAGCCTTTCTAAGTTTTTTAGAGGGAGAACCCCAAAATTTTAACTAGTTTTTCAACTTTTTAAATGTGTATATGTGTGATATGGGTATATATTTGTGTGTGAGTGTGAGAGTGTATGTGCCACAGCACGTGTGCCAACGTCTGAGGGACAACCTTGGGTGTCAGTCCTCACCTTCCACCCAGCTTGAGATAGGGGCTCTGCTGTGCCTCTCTTGTTTGCTGCTGCCTCTACCAGACTAGCTGGCCTGTGAGTGTTGGTGATTCCCTTGTGCTATCTCCTGTCTTCCTGGAAGAACCCTGAGATTACAGACATATTCTAGTGGGCTTGGTTTTACGTGGATTCTAGGATTTGAGCTTTAGGTCCTCACACTGGCACATCAAGCACTTGACCCCACTGAGCCATCTTCTTAGCCCTTTTTTCCCCTAGTTTTTGATGAAATGAATAGTTGAGAATAAAGATGCTGAGAATCCAGAATCAAAGCTCACATAAACAATCATTAAGTGTCCTCAGCATACGTGTGTACACACACACACACACACACACACACACACACACACACGCACATTTACCATGTGAGTGCTGGATATGTTCATTGGCTTGATTGTGGCAATCAAATGTATGTATCAAAACATTAACCGTATGCCATTTTTGTCAGTTATACTTAAGTGAAGCTAGAAAAACTATTAAGGAAGAGGCAGTCTGGTCTCTATAGAGCAAATCATGTTAGTTGGTAGCTTTTTGAGGGAATTTTTTAGCCTATTTATTTATTTATTTATTTATTTATTTATTTGGAGAGAGAGAGGGAGAGAGAACATGCATGTGTGATGGTGCATGTGTGGGGATCAGTGGACAGCCTCGGGTGTCAATCCTTACCTTGTACTTTGTTTGAGACAAGGTCTGTTGTTCACTGCTTCATATGCCAGGCTAACTGATCCAAGTTTCTGAAGATCTGAAGTTCTGAAGATCAAAACTCAGGTCATCAGGCTTACATGGCAACAAGCACTTTAATTGTTTAATCATCTCTCAAGCCCTGTTTTAGCCCTTTAGAAATATCTCAGTAAGAGACATATTATCTGTATGAACAAACATTTAATGATTGTTAATGGTATACAATTTATGTTGATATATATTTTTAAAATATATTACCTTTATTCCTATTTGCCTATTTTCTTTTTCTCTAGTTCCCTTTTCTCTTCCTTCCCATTGGATTAATTTTTTTCTAGTTCTTCTCCGGGGTGTGTGTGTGTGTGTGTGTGTGTGTGTGTGTGTGTGTGTGTGTTTCTGTCTGTCTATATAAAATATAGGAAGCTTAGATGACAGAAAATATATATATGATACTTGTCTTTCTGCGATTGATGTTTATCTCCATTTACATATTTTCCTACGAATAATATAACTTTATGGCTGAAAAAAATTCCATTGTGTACACATCATATTTCCTTATCCCTGTGTTGTTGGACACCTAAGTTGGTTTACAACTTAGCTGTTGTGATTAGTGCTGCAGTAAAATTGATGTGTAAGTCTCTCTATGAAGTATGAACTTGGAGTTCTCTGAGTAAATATCCAGGGGTAGTAAGTTGGATCATATGGTAAATTCGTTTTTAGTTTTTTTGTAACAACTTTCATGCTCACTAGGTAGGATGGCATCTCAATAAGGTTTTTGTTATTGTTGCTTTTAAATTTTATTTATTTATTTTTTGGTACTTTTGAGACAGGGTGTCCCTGTAGCCCCAACTGGCCTGGAACTTACTATATAGACCAGGCTGGACTTAAACTCACAGAGATCCGCCTGCCTCTGCCTCCCGAGTCAGTGTTAAACTCTTAAAGAATAAATCAAGAGGGGTGGGAGAGATGGCTTAGCAGTTTAAGAGCACCCACATGGTGGCTAAGAACCATCCTTAACTCCAGTTCCAGGGGAATCCGAAGCTCTCTTCTGACCTCCTCAGCATTGCATGACATGGGTGCACTCACATGCAGGCAATATACTCATACACAAAATACAAAAAATAAAAAATAAGATATGAAAAAAAGAATAAATCAAGAGGCTAAAACAAAATTATGGATAAATGTAAATATGAATGAAAATAAAAATTAAATCTTCTCCCCAACTCCGTTTTTTTTTAGACAGATTCTCGTGTAGCTCAGGCTGGTCTCGACTCACAGTGTAGCAGAGGCTGGCCTTGAACTCCTTATCTTCTTGCCTCTCTTCTAACTGCTGGGATTATAGGTATGTATTCCCACCCCTAGCTAAGAATTAAGTCTTGAGAGACAGAGGCATAGAGATTTTGATAAATTTCCAAACCAAGATTATTTAAAATTTGAGATTTCTTTAGGTTGAAGAGTCCCTCTTCCCTTTTGTCTCAGAGGGAAAATTATATAGATAAAAATAGAAATAAATAAAAAAGAATTTGCCACCCTTTGAGCTTTGGTGTTTTTTAAAAAACAGTTTTAGGGGGCTGGAGAGATGGCTCAGTGGTTAAGAACACTGACTATTCTTGCAGAAGACCCAGGTTCAAATCCTAGCACCCACATGGCAGCTAACAACTGCCCATAACTCCAGTTCCAGGGGATCCAACAGCCTTTTCCGTCTTCCATGGGCATTGCACGATACGGGTGCACTTACCTGCATGCAGGCAATACACGCATACACATAATATAAAAATACTAAATAAAATACTAAAAAAATAATTTCAGCAATTATAGGGAAAGAAGAGAGGATATAGTAAACATTTTCAGGTGAGCCACACTGCAATATTTAGTATGTTAAATGCTCAAAGTGACTGGAATAAATCTCAGAAGATTTTTATAGGGTTATGCAAGTAGTAAAGGGGTTGTGATCATCTGTTCATCAAAAAGTAGACGAGAAAGACTGGTGAGATGGTTCAGCAGGTAAAAGTGACTGCTGTGCAAACCTGACCTTCTGAGTTCAAACCCGGAACCCCCAGGGATGTCAGCACTTGGGAGGTAGAGGCAGGTAGATCTCAGTGAAGCCATATGTAGTGACATGCATCTGTAATCCCAGAAGCCTAGGAGACAACCAGCCTGGAGTATGCAGCACAACAGCAGAAACAGCAACAGGGAGCTAGCTCCTGACAGTTGTCCTCTGACCACCACATGTGTGCTGTGGCATGTGTGTGCCCCCCACAGTAATAGTAGTAAAGTATGAAGTGAAACCCTGATCCAAGTGGTGACTTCTCGTGTAGAATATTATTATGAATCATAATATACTGAAACTAGGGTCTTAGAGGGTGGTTTTTCAAGTGAACGAGACAAACACCAAATTATTTCTACCTTTTATAATTTGTTGTTGTTGTTGTTGTTGTTTTGAGACAAGGTCTTTTTTTTTTTAGTGTTTATGTACACATATGTACACATGTGTTTGACATAGCATGCATATGTAGATCAGAGGATAGCTTACAGGAGTCAGTTCTCACTTTCCACCATTTGGGTGCTGGGGCTCAGACTTAGCTTATCAGACTTTGCATCTAGGCCACTTGCTTGCTGAATTATCCCACCCCTAGACAAAGACTTGCTATGTAACCAAGATTGGCCTAGAAGTCACTGTGTAGCCCAATTTGGCATCCAACTCTCAGTCTTCCTGCTTTAGCTTTCTAGAGCTGGGATTACAGGCAAGTACTACTATGCCTGCCTTTTAAAACCCTCATTTTAAATACAGTAGATAATAAGTGGGATCTTATCGTCTAAGAAGTAGTACAAACCAGAAATTCAAATATGTTAACACCTAGTAAATACATGTTTTTTCCTTTTATAATCTTTCCCTCTACCCAGGTCAGCCATAGTCCTGAACTTCTGAAGGCTATAGAACAGGAGGTGAGGATGGTGATTCAAAACATTTTGCAAAAGTAAACAGAAGAGATTAACTATTGGTTACTTTCTCAAACTGCTATTCTCCAGATATCACATGCTCGCTCAGTTTGGAAGACTGTTGATATTATTCTTTGAAATACAGAAGAAAATAATTTACAGTGGTTGCCAGGGCTTTACTGTGACTATAATTTGCTCCTCCTTCAGAGTAAGCATTTTGAAAAAAAACCCAAGAAAATGTAAGTGCCTTCTGTGAAAATTGAACCTGCTTCTATTTATCCAACTCTGGGTAAGAAACTGTACTTTCTACTTTCCTCAGGGCAGGATATGCATAGCTTGTATGGCCCTTGGGACAGCTGAGGGTGTCATTTTACTAAAGGCTACTTCCCCATAACCAGTCAACTTTATTCAGAGAACAGCTGTTAAGAGTCTACTACATGTCAGGATTGATATGCTAAGTACCCAGGAAGACTTTGTCCATCACCTATGACAGCAGTAAACCCACATCTATGGAAGTTCTTGAGCACTAACAGTGAAAGAGTGTCCTCTTGTTTCAGAAACATCCTAAGGGTTAGGACATTCCTACCTTTCCTTTAATAATTAAATTCTCTTGAGTCTACAATACTGTTTACACCAGGTATATTTTTGTATACCTGTGTCTGAAGTTTTGGTTTACAGTGTTTTGGGGGGTCACAGACTTCTGTAGGAGTATAATTACATGAAACTTTAAATAAAATGCATATATCATAGAAATTTGTCACTGTTGTGCTGTAGAGTTATAAATCAAAAGAATTTAAAACCTGCTGCTTTAGAGACTGAGTTTTATTTATTGCAAAAGTTCTGTCAGCATACAAATTACCCTGTGATATATGCAGGGCATTTCATTTGACACTGGTTACTTCAGCTTAAAAATCTAAAAAGTAGATGAGGGCTGGAGAGAGTTGACACAGCAAAGCACCTGAGTTCGATCTTTAGAGCCTGTGTATAAAAAAACAATGGATATTTGCAATTCCATTGTTGCTGAGGTGAAGACAGGTGGATCCCTAGGGCTCATTGAGTAGCTAGCCAAGCCTTCTTGATGAGTGCCAAGCCAATGAGATAACACTGTCTTTTAAGGGGTTAGGGATGCTAGAGAGATGGCATAGCCATTAAAAGACTAAGACTAACAACCAGAATGTTAAAAACAAAGGTGGGGGGGGTGGATATAAAGTAGGCAGTCACTGGGGAATGACACCCAAGGTTGTCTCTGACCTTTGTATATAGATGTACCCATATATATGTGAATATGCACATACAAAGAATAAAAGACAAATTTAGTAGAGTTGCTTTCTCCTTATTAGCTTATTTCAGTTGAAGGCAAGCAAGCTACTTGTGAAAACACACATTGGAACATGTAAGTGTAAATTGTCCTTAATGAGATGCTTTATTTTCTGTAGTTGTGAATAGGTAGTTATGGTGGGATGCCAGTTAACATTACATATGTATTTGTATAGCATTGAACATAACACATTTGATGAATGGAACAACTAAAAGTGTTCCAAAATGCTTGTATTAGCCAGATAAGAAAAATGCCCAGTAGGAAAGGTCACAAAGATCAGATTGTTTTCACCCTGATATCTCAAGTGAAACCAAAAGTAATGACACTTGCTTTTTGTTGTTGTCATGACAAAAAAAAATATTTTTAATTTATTTATGGATGAGACAAGGTCTTTCTATGTAGACCAAGCTGGTCTTAATCTCCGGATCCTCCTGGAATTAAAGGTATGAGCCACTATGCCCAACTCCCCATATTTAAGTGTGTAGTTCTATGTATAAAGAATATTTATATTAAAGCCAGATGTGGTGGTACACACTTTTAATCCCTTCACTCAGGAGGCAGAGGCTGGCAGATCTCTGAGAATGGGGCCGGCTAATAACTATTTATAGCTCTAGTTCCAGGGGAATCTGATGCCCTCTTCTGACCTCTGCAGTCATTGCATGACACGAGTCCACTTGCATACATCAGTCTTAGACATAAAATAAAAATAATAAAATAGTTTAAAAAACACTTTAGAACTTTGTCTTACAAAATTCAAAACTCTAGGATTGGACATGGTGGCTTATGCCTGTAATTCTTGTACTCAGACAGAGGCAGGAGTACCTGCAGCACGTTTGTGAAGCCTGGTCTATGTTGCAAATTACAGGTTAGCCAGGGCTACATAGTGAAACTATCTCAAACAGAAAAACATACCTATTAAATAGAGTTTTGTAACTAGCATTCTTGTTTCAATGAGTTTTTACCTCATATATGCTTTGTATATGAGGTGTTTTGTGTTTTTTTCTTTTTAAATGTATATGAGTATTTCGTCTGCATGTATGTAACAGCATCTAGGTTGTACAGTGCCCATGGGGGCCAGAAGAGGGCGCTGGATCCCTTGGACCTGGAGTTACAGTCAATGGTTAGCCACCATGTAGGTGCTGGGAACCAAACTCAAGTCCTCTGCAAGAGTAGCCAGTGCTCTTAACTGCTGAGCCATCTCTCTAGCCCCACATCTACTGTTTTCACTGCCTTTTTAAAATTTTGAGACAGGGTCTCCCTTTAAGCCCCAGCTGGCCTGGAACTTGCTATGTAGACCAGACTGGCCTCTATCTCATAGATCAGCCTCCGCCTCCTGAGTGCTGGGATTTAAAGATATGCACTTTACACCCAGTTGCCCTCATCTACTTTTATCAAAAGCATAACTTAAACATAGACAAGGATGTCATTTTTTCTATTCCTAGTACTGCAGCTTCAATCAGCCTTGTTTTTGTGGGCATTTCCCAGTGACATGAATCACCTACAGCATAACAATCCTTAAAGACTTTTATTTCAAGGTGAAATAAAAAGTTTATTAGAAAGAAACTTGGCAGTTGTGTAGGTGGTTTCCATCTTTAGCACCCATACATATCATGGGAAAAATGCCCTTTTTTGTGTGTGTGTCTTTCTAGGAAGCCCATACTAGCCTGAAACTCATGATCCTCCAGTCTTATCCTCCCAAGTGCTGGGATTATAAATATGTACTGCCATATCTGACTGAAAAAGATATGTTAATAAAATCAAATATTAGGATTTGATAGGCTACTGACTTGTTTTGCTTTTGTTTTGTTTTAAATTTTGAAGCAGGGTCTCTAACCCAGGTTGGCCTCCAATGCCCAGAGAAACAAAGATAACCTTGAGTTTCTGATCCTCCTGCCTCTACTTCCCTAGTGCTGGGATGACAGGCATGTACCATACTTGGTTTATGCCATGATGAGAATCAATCACAGGCCTTCATGCATGCTAGACAAGCACTGTACTTACCAATTGAGCTACATCCTCAGCTCTGGCTATTGATTTTTAAATGAATAAGATAACATTTCTGTCAAGATTATTTAGCCAGAATAGCACAACCTGTCAACCTGAATTCTGATGTAATGTTTAAAAGAATTTAAAGCCATAAGAAACTTTAGATTGAAGATGAAATGATTGTATACAATTCCTCTGAAACTTTATGTTGACTAATTCATAATAAATTTTGGGGCTTAGGAGACAGTTTCAGTGGGTAAAGTGCCTGCCACATAAACATGAAAACTTGAGTGCAGATCCCTAGCACCTACGTAAAAACTAGACACAGTGGCACATCTCTATCTACAGTCTTGGGGTGGATGCAGACAGGCAAATCCTGGGGACTTGATGGCCGCCAGTCTAACTAATGAGAAACCCTGTCTCAAAACATAAGGCGGCAAAGCTACCGAGGAAGACAACCCAACATCAGCCTCTGGCTTCTTCACACATACCCACATAACCACCACCACACACATGCATGTACTACACAAAATAAAAATTTCCCATTTTTCACTTGTTACTTTTTGTTTTTATGTTTATGAGTGTTTTGTCTGCATGTATGTAAGTGTGCTATGTGTGCACCCACAGAGCCCAGAAGAGTGCATTGGCTCCCCTGGAACTGGAGCCACCATGTGAGTTCTGGGAACTGTACCTGGCTCCTCTGCAAGAGCAGCCAGTGCTGTTGACTGCTGAGCCATCTCTTTAGCCTCTCACGTTTCATTTAATTCCTAGTAAAAGTTTTCCCTTATTTTACATATATTACCTTAGAACTTAATGTTAACTAAATCAAAAGTAATGCTTTTTTTTTTTATAGCTGTTGGTATTCAAGCTTCTTTCTCTTTCAGTCTGTTTCATTTGGAGACAGTGACTGAATTCCATGATTTTTATTTTTTGTTTTGTTTGGATGGGATTTCATATAGCATAGGGTAGCCTTGAACTAGATGCATAGCTGAGGATGGCCTTGAACCTGGCCCTCCTGTTTCTACCTCCCTGAATACTGGGATTACAGGCATGTACCATCACACCTAGTTTACGCAGTGCTGGGAGTAGAACCCAGAACATTTGAATGTAGTCATTTTACCAACTAGGCTACATCCTCGGCCCTGAATTTCATAGGTTCTTAAGCAGGAGGCACACTACACTAATACTGTGCCCTACTCAAATGCTAAATTTATGACTACTCATCAGAGTGCTTTTCTGCTCTTCTTAGGAACTTTGTGTCACTACTATCTCGAAGACCAGTGAGAAATACCTTTTTTGAAAACTTCCTCAAATTTAGAGCTGGTAAAGCCCACACAGTGAGCCATTTTACAGAGTGGAAAATATTTTTATGTTACAAAAGTATGTAACTTCTTTTAAGTTACAGATATCATATTATTTGGATAGCCCAGGACAAATTGAAAACATGGTTTTCTTCTAAGTAGATTTTAGTTTACCACTTACCTGTACCCCTGACATAACATAGTTCTTTTCTTTTAGGTTTGGCTCTTCCCTGCTTTGTGGTTTCATGCTTTCAGGTCCACAAATGCATGTGAGAAGATGGGCTTTCGACAAACTCTTTGTATTATGAACTCTTTAATATTAAGTAAAAAATCTTAAGGTGAAAATAAACAGACTTTGGGGTTAGTGGGATTAGTGGTTATTGGTGGTAGATAAAAGGAAG